TACATTTTACCGTTTATATTGACAAATTATCCATTTGTTTGCCTCATTTGCGTATCCTCGAGTTCATTTTCTTTTAGTAAGATTTACTCATGCATGTGTTATTGCTTACATTGTATTACTTTCTTCTTGTTTTTTTTGTTTGCCTTGTTTACAAGTTCACGACTTGTACATGCCGAAGGTTTTTTATGTGAAGTAGTCATTCTAACATCGATAAAGATGTGAGTGTCGACATCTACCTTCCACATATCATATTTTAATGAGATTCTTAGAGTTTGATGTTGTTATTGAATCTTGACTTTTGTAATATAAAAACATACTTTTTTTGCTCATTTAGTTTTATTATAGATGAATCATATACAAAGCCTTAAAAAGAATTAGGTATCTCGATTGTTCTTCTATGTTAATGCTATATTGTATCGGCATCGTTTTCTATATCTATTAGCAATCCTTCATAATTCCCATATAAATATTCATATAGCTATGATATATGCTATTATGTGTATGGAACTGTTTGAAAAAAAAAAAAAAAAAAAAAAAAAAAAGTTAATAGTTGTCCTCTAAATGTATCTTGACTTTGAAATTGATGTGTGCATCGTATACAAAGCCTTTAGGTCTTTATAGTTATTTTTCAAGATATGAAAAAAAGACAGAAAAAACTTTACTGGATCTTAGTTTTTAACTATAACTACAAAATTGAATTCATATATTTAACATATAAAAAATGTACAACCAATATAAATAAACATAAAAAGTCCGACCTGCCGGATTCGAACCAGCGACCTAAGGATTGCTATAAGTAACTACTACAGTCCTCCGCTCTACCAACTGAGCTAAGGTCGGTTTGTGTTAAAATTCTTAACATTAATTAACATTATTTCTCCAATTAGAACTTGCCAGCTGGACTTCCCCTGTGTGAAATAGACTGATGGTTCGGGACTTCAGTCACGTGAAGGGGTGATAGGTATTGGAGTCCACGTCATCACTGTGGGTCCACATCCCACGCCAAAATCTCAAACACCACTTCCTATCTCACTCGCGCTGTTTTGTATAATAGTAATTCTGAAAGATTTTTACACGTGCACCGAACTTTTGACTCGTGCAAACACCTGTGTAATACTCCTATCGGCACGTGTAAATCACGCGTCAGACTTTATCAGTAAGTCACGCGCATCACAAATACTACTTGCACCGGTTACAATTGTTTGGTTCTCATCTCACTTCGTCTTCCCAAAATGCCCTTTTCCGAAGCCATTGCTCAATTTTTATTTTCCAAAACTACCCTTTAATAAAAAAGGGATATGTTATTTTCATTTTCTATCTATTTATATTTTTGTCTATCTATTTAGTTTGTATATTTTTTTATTCCATTAAGTTTCAAAAATCGATAATTTTGTTCATTTTAACCATTTTATCTGATCAACAAGTCATCATATTTTCTAATTTATTCTTTTGGTTGAGTTTTTAAATTATATTACAAATTTACTCCATAATTTACACATTTGGCCCAAATTTCAAAATTTCATTACAAATTCATCCTAAATTTAGTTTTTTCTACATCTTTTTTCTTCAAAGTTTTGTTTCGACTATGATTTTTTTCCTGTATAAAATCATATTTATACAGATTTCGAGCAGAGTTTGCACCAGCTGTAGAGGTGCAACAGCTGACGAGGGAGTTCCATGACCTGCATCAGATGACTGAGAACGTGGCGGAGATCATCGCCAAGTTTAGGGAGAGAGCTTTACTGGTTCCACAGTATGCCGCAGATGAGGAGATGAAGAAGACTCGGTACCATGACATGTTGATGGCGGATATCCGGGAGTTTGTTAACTTTTCAGCTTGTCGGACTTTAGAGGGTATGATAGCTAAAGCCTAGGAGCGGTAGTTTGAATTGGAGCACCTCGGGAAGAGGAAGGCAGAGCAGGTGCAGAAAGCCGGGGGTTTAGCGAAGAGACCCAAGACTTCTGATCCTCGATTTGGAGGTCAGTCGAGTCGGAGCCGATGTGGTAGATGTGGGAGAGTGTATGAGGGGACTTGTCGAGAGAAGGGTGATAGTTGCTTCAAGTGCGGCAAGATTGTACATTTTATCAGGAGTTATACTTAGGGATCGGGTGGTATGATTTGCTTCCATTGCAATTAGACGGGCCATAAGAAGGTCAATTGCCCAAAGTTGACGAGAGGAGCGGTGACGGTACCTGCTCTAGCTGCATTAAGGATCACAGATGGTCGCGAGGGCAAGACGGTGACCCTTGTGGTGAAGAGCATGGCTTTCCAACTGATGGCCGAGGAAACGTGTGCAACTCCTGATGTGGTCACGGGTATGTTTTCTATTTATTATTCGCTTTCATTATTGTTTATGCTTATATTTCATGTTATGATGTTTAGGGACGTTCGTAGTGAACAAATCACCTGCTCTGGTTCTTTTCGATTCGGGTACTACCTGATATTTTGTGTCTCTTGTGCTTAACGAGAGGTTTGACGACACTCCTGGTGAGCTAGATTTCCCTTTGGAGGTTGATATTGCTGATGATCGTCCAGTGAGAGTTTCAAGGATTCATCGGGATTGTATCTTGGAGGTTTTCAATGAGAGATATACGATTGATTTGGTTCCCATTCTGTTACACGAGACTAAGGTGATTGTGGGTATGGACTGGTTGAGCCCTAATACGGATATGATTGATTGTGAACACCAGTTAGTGATAATTCGAACCCCAAGTGGGGGAGAAGCTGGTTATTCGCGGCGAGGGTGCATAACGTGGGCCAGCTCTCTGTCCAGGTACGAGGGCTAGGAGGTATCTTCATCAGGGATGTTAGATTTTTGGCTTATGTGTTGGATACTCGGTTTGAGGGGAAGACGGGAGTGCCTCTCGAGAGACAAGGTGCATAACGTGGGCCAGCTCTCTGTCCATGATGCTCGTTGTTCAGGATTACCCTGATGTGTTTCCCGAGGATTTGTCGGGAGTGCCTCTCGAGAGACAGGTTGAGTTTCAGATTGATTTGACTCCGGGTGCGGCTCCGATAGCCAAGGTGCCTTATCGTTTAGCACCACCCAAAATGCAAGAGTTGCTTGCGCAGCTGCATGAACTACTAGACAAGGGGTTTATCAGACTGAGTAGTTTGCCTTGGGGAGCACCGATCCGGTTTGTGAAGAAAAAAGACGGTTCACACAGGATGTGCATTGATTACCGAGAGTTGAACAAGTTAACGGTGAAGTGCTCGATGTGATTGTATCGCATGCACCAATGTTCCGTATTTTATGACCCATTTTATACTCTGATAACTATTTGATACATTTTTATACATTGATTGGGTTTTTGGAATGAATGAATGGTTGTTTGGTTGACTTAAAGAAAAAAATTTACTTAGTATTTTCGGAATGTTACATTATACAAACATGTTTTTATAAAAAAATGTATATAATAAAAAATTTTAGAAAAATATATACAAACATGTTTTTAATAT